ACCGACGAGAACAAGAAGGACTACGTCGACCTCATGACGGAATGGCGAATCTCGAAGCGCGTCGAGGAGCAGTTCAAGGCGTTCATCTCGGGCTTCACCGAGCTCATCCCGCAGGACCTGATCAACGTCTTTGACGAGCGCGAGCTGGAGCTGCTCATCGGTGGCATGTCCGAGATCGACGTCGACGACTGGAAGAAGTTCACCGACTACCGCGGCTTCACCGAGCAGGACCAGGTGGTGCAGTGGTTCTGGCAGTGCGTCCGCGCTTGGCCCACCGAGAAGAAGTCTCGTCTGTTGCAGTTCGCCACCGGCACCTCGAGGATCCCCGTCAACGGCTTCAAAGACCTCCAAGGCTCGGATGGACCGCGACGCTTTACTATCGAGAAGTCGGGCGACGTCAACCAACTGCCCAAGTCACATACCTGCTTCAACCGCATCGACCTGCCGCCCTACCCTTCGTTTGAGACGCTCGAGAGCAAGCTCGCGCTCGCCATCGAGGAAGGCATGGGCTTCGGCAACGAGTGATTCTTCCGTGCAGAACACTTGCTTTTCATCCTGTGCACACCTCTCGTTCCTTTTGTTTTGCTTCGCTGTCGAGTACTTTTGATTGGATTTCGTTTGTGAATGCTATTGTTTTGCGCTTTGATCGACGTGTACGTATCAACGGTTGTGCTGTATCCGCGCCATCGGAAAGTCAGCTTTGAGCGCTTTTGCAGTGAGTCGGAGAACTAGCCTCGACGGAAGACGTTATCCCTCCACTATCGAGCAAAAAGAAAGTCAGGTCAGTGATGAACGCCAAAGACACGACGAGAGACCGTACTTACATTGCCTGGCATGTGCATCGACTGCCAGATCGCCTGCATTAGCTCGTTGTGCTCGGCTTCGAGCTGAGCGGGCGTCGTCGGATGCATCCGGTGGTACGTGTCGTACGCCCGGATGAAGGCCGCCCGGACGCTTGCGTGGTCCATCGTGTCGATCGAAGGCCAGTCGATCGCGTCGGCAGGAGTGCGCATCGACAACGAAGGTCGGCGGGCAGCCACCGGGACAGCCTGGGCAAAGCGGGCAGTGGAAGTACCACCAGCCATCGGGAGTCCAGGGTACTCCTTCTGGAGATCCCAGCGCCCGCCCAGCTTTCCGGTGGGCCCGTAGACCCGCAGCTCCGCCTCCTCCCGCGAAAGGCCGTCCTCCTCCGTCAGCTTTACCATCGCCGCCACATTGTCGCGATCCAGGATCCACTTCTTGGGACACTTGCGATTTCGTTTGCCGCTCGCGCAGCCCCGGCACTTCTCCACGTACGAATTTGGGTCCGGCGCAACGCAAGGCACCCCTCGATTGTTGCAATCGGTGCAGGGCTCGTCGGCCCAGTGCCGAGCGATCAGCCATCGCCGGATGGCAATCGGCCGGAACGTAAACGGAGCGGTGGGCACAGGGGTGGCGGGCGTGCTGGACGAGGTGCCGGCTGAATCGCTTGCGTGCCGATGCGGACGGCGCTCGCATCATGTGTGATCAATTGGATGAGTGGATCTTCTCAACTCTGCACACGCACACCACACTTGAGACACAAGAAGCACTGCATTGCATCGACACTGCGCGAACGAATCAGGCCGAATGCTGAGACCAATCCGTCTGGTCCTGAACGCTCTGTCCGTCGGCATCGAACGCGATCCTCAGCCTCAACCGCACAGGAGCGTTGGAGGGCACCATGACCCTCAACGCCTGCGTCTCGGTCGACCCGGGCTGCACGGTGGAGTTCGAGATGGCCTGCATCTGCAGCTTGTGCGTTTTGGGCACGGCGGCCTGGAAGTTGACGTTGGAGATGGGCGACGTCGAGGTGAAGCGTGCGATGATGTTGACGATCTCGGGACGGGCTGGGTTGGTGGTGGGTGTGAGGGTGATGGTGAGGCCGTGCTTGGTGTACACCGTGTGCGCTTTGGCGGGGGCAGCGGCGGGTGTGGGCGCGGGTGCAGCAGCGGGTGCCGGGGGAGCAGCGGTGGCCGCGGGCGCGGATGAACTGCTGTCGAGGCCACCCAGGAGGTCGAGACCGCCGAACAAGGATGAAGATGCAGCGCCGGCAGGAGCGGCCGCTGGAGCCTGCTGCTGCGGTGCAGGTGCGCTTCCACTGTCTCCGAACAAGCCGAGGATATCGTTGACAGAGCTCTTTGGCTTCTGCGCTGCCGGTGTCGTCGCCGACGCCGCCGCGGGTGCACCGCCCACATCGCTGCCACCGAAGATGTCCGCGAGCAAATCGTGCGTGCTCTGCTGAGTCGAAGCACCGCCGCTTACAGCAGCCGCCGACGCACCGCCACCGCTCGCTACAGGCATCTCGTCACCCATCAAGTCCAACAGGGCATCCTTGTCCGATCGAGTCGATCCCACCGGCTTGGCCTCGCTCACCGTGCCGAGCACGGTCTGCTTGATCTCCGGTGGTGGCATGCTCTCGAGCACACCTTCTCGGATATCGCTGCGCTTGAGCAACGTGGCGAACTCGACACTGCGCTGCTGGATCTCGACCTCGACGCTGCTCTCGAAGCTGGCGATGATCTGCTCGATGCGCGACTGCTGCGATGCATCCGACAGTCTCGTGTGCAGCTTGGCCAGCGATGTGAGCACGAATTGACGGATCAGGCCGTTGACGTAAGGGCTGTCGAGCACCGACGAGAGCAGATCGAGGACATCCTTGGGCTGCACCTCTCGCACCAGTTCCTCGTCCTCGAAGTTGCCTCCCTGGACGAGAACGTCGCCGAACTCGCCAATGACCCACACAGCAGCGAGCGTGAGGCTCTCCTGAGAAAAGTCCTGGTGCAGCGCAGAGAAGAGCTTCTGCACCGTGTAGGCCTGCAGCTCTGGCGTGTGGCATACGAGGCGGATGAAGGCGGATAGGATCTCTTCGCGCACATAGTTGCCGGCCAGCTTGAGCACACGCAGCACCGTGTCGATGTGCCATCGCTTGTTGGGGGCGAACTTTTCGGCGGCAAGGCAGATCTGCGTGGTCATGCCCAGCTTGAACTCGTTGTCAGCCACTTCGAGGAACGACAGCAGCTCGCGTGTCAGAACACGCACGTTGCTCTCGTTGATGAGTGCGTAGCTGAGCTCGAGCGCGCGGCGACGGATGGAAATGTCTCCGTCGCGAAGACAGTCGAGGATGATGTTGCGATGGCGCTGCACAGCGTTGGTGTCCATGGACACGACCTTGCTGAGCGTGTTGAGTGCAACGTAGCGGATGTTGTTGTCGCGGTTGCTGAGGAATTTACCGAGGATGTTGATGGCCATGACGCGCAAACCGTTGTCTGCGTCGATCTCGAGGATGGTGAGCACGGTCTCGTACAGGATACTGTTGCCGACATTCTTGCTTGCCTCGGTGTTGGTGGCCACCTGGGCGAGAATGTCGTTCATGGCCTCGGATGCTTGGGCGTTTTCCTTGCCGAGAATGCGGAGGAGGCGCAGGATCTTGACCTGAAGGAAGGGGTCGGTGATACCAGAGACGTCGTGCTCGGGCGAGTAGCCAGTGGTGACGAGCGACTTGAGGTGCTGGACGAGCAGCGGTACGGCGCGTCGGTATTGTTGCAAGGCCTCGTCACCCTGTCGGCAGATCTCGATGGCCAGCGTGACAGCGCAGAGGAGCACTCCGTGGTTTTTGTCCGAGAGCAGCTGCTTGGTTCGGTCGACAAAGTGATCGATGAGATCAGGCACCTTGCGGACGATCCGCATGGCACAGATGGCGGCCTTGCGTCGGATGTAGGTGTTGCTGCTACCCATGAGCTTCTCGATTTCGTTGCAGAGGTCTCTGGACATTTCCTCGGATGCGATGTTGGCAAAGGTGCACAGCGCAAGACCGCAGACGTACATGTTGGAGTGCTCCATGTCGTTCTTGAGACCGTTGGTGACGAGCGTCAAGACCTCGGTGTTTTCATCGAGGAGCAGCATGATTCCCAGGTAGCCGAGACGCTTGTCTGTGAAGCGCGGCGTGGCAACGAGCTTGAGACACTCGATCTGACCGAAATGCGCAGGATAGCCGAGCATGTGGATGTAGAGCAGCTTGGCGATGTTGTTGTGACGTGCAAAGGGGTCTTCATCCTTGAAGGCTGTTCGAATCGAGGCCGACTCCTTCTGGATGAGGGATCGCTCGTCGGCGAGCGTCTTGCAGGATCGAATGGCTTTGATGAGCGCCTTCAAGTTGTACAGACCCGCGCTGGCCATAAGGCCGCCGAGGCGCGGGTCGAGCGCAGCCACCTGCTGCTGTTTCTGGAAGAAGGTGGACATGTCGAATCAGCGCTGGCCGGTGTTGCGGGACGAGGATGAGAGCCACACAAGAGCGAATGCTCGATGTCGCAGATGTGCAATCACTGATCTGGTCCGCGCTGACAAGTTTTGTGAAAGATGCTTGGACGTTGAAGAGTCGAGTCGCGTGGATGAGAGGGGGAAGAAGGCTGCAAGGTGGAAACGTCGAGGTGGTCGAGCTGGATGAAACAGAAATGCGCGCGTGTTTGGTGTCAATTCGAAGAGAGTGAGTGTTGGATACTGCAAGTTGCAGCCGCCGCTTCACAAAAGCCTCGGTGGTTCTCGAGCCAGCCAGCTGCGTGACGCTCAACGCACAAGCTCGAATTTCCAGACTTGGTCAGAGCGTCATGTGTGCCAAACTGCTTTCAGCAACCACTGTCACACACTCTCTCTTACACCTCCTCGCTCTCTCGTTGCCTCTCGGAATGCAGCGCGCTTTGACAGTGCGGGGCGATCATTGTCACATGCCGGCCAGCGGACTCGTTTCAGTCGATCATGCTCTCATGCAAATCTGCCACGACGAAGCCAAGGGAGGGCAACACTTCAACACATAAAAAAGTTGGTGCGGTCTGGAGGAATCGGGCCTCCCTCGCTCGCATAAAGTAGCTTCCAGAAAAGCACAATCGGGAAGGCGCGTGATCAGATCTGTGATGACAGACGCCTTGGCGCAGTCACCTGTCAAACCTAACATCTCTCTCAACTCGGCCGATTGAAAAAAAAATTGCGGCTTGGAGGAATCGAACATCCGTCTGCTCGGTCCAGGCGACAAGGAAACCTTCTACAATGAAGAAACCCAAACGCACCACAACGAACCGTGATAACCACTACACTAAAGCCGCTCTATATACAGAAAGGTGTGCTAAAGCAAAATGACCCAACACACATCATGCTCCTTCAATCGGTAAGAATTCGCTTTGCCTGTATCACCCAGGACTGCTCGAGAAAGGACAAGCCGCTCGCACCGTCTGGAAGCGGTTGCGATGCGTCGAGCAAGGCGTGTGAGAAAGCGAGCTCCACGATCACGGTCTTAAGCTTGTGAGCGTTCACGGTCACGCGCAACGAAAGAGCGATTGGTAGCAGTAGATTGCATCTAGGAACGCATGCTAAGGAGGCAGAATTGGCTAGTAGTACAAAGATGGATCAACTGGTTCAAGATGCATTCGGACCGGCTAAGCACGTTCGTCCTCGGTCTCGGTCTCGGTCTCGTCGCCATCGGTGCTGACCTGTCTGTACCCTCTCCCACGGTAGGGATCGCACCAGCCCGGCGGACTGACAATGCCGTTGAACAAGAAGGTGCCGTAGACGAGCAGCACGAAGCCCAGCACCTGCAAGCTGCCCGAGGTGAGGTTGAAGGTCTCCCAGCCGAGTGTCAAGCTGACGACCCAGATGCCGAGCGTCCTGCATGTGTCGATGGTGCTCCTGGCGGTAGCCGACACATTGCGCGTGACGGAAAGCCCAAAGAAGTTGAAGAAGGCAATGGTAAAGCAAATCGCGATGCTCGAGACGAACACGGTGGGCACCGAGATGATCTGGTAAAAGCCAGCCGACATGTCGAAGTAGCCTCCGCGGCCCTCCGGAGTACGACCGAAGTAAAAGTGCAGCACGGGCATAGCAACGAGCGTGGTCAGCGAGCCAAACACGCCCTCGTAGCCAACAGCGAGCAGCGGCTCGACCGAGTAGCACGACATGATCTTTTCCTCGAGCACAAACTGCGAGGCGGTGAACAGCTGAGCAAAGAGAATGAGCAAAACGCCCAGCAGCGCCTGCGTGGATTCGCCGATCTCGTCATCCTCGTCGAAAGAGCCAGTAGCTTCGGGAGCCTTGAAGACGGTGCCGGACAAGCCAACGACGGAGACGCCCATCATGACGGTGACCAAGCTGAGCCACTGGAAGAGATGGAGGTGACGCCTGAGGAAGATGACCGAGAAGACGCCGACCCAGAGCACCAGAGCGCCTCGGGTCATCTGGTAGATGCTGACGGGAGTGAAGAGCAGACCGACGTTCATGAGCGTGGTGCCGCAAATGTCGCACAGGGCGGGCATGAAGAAGAGGCCGATGGCCTTGCCAGACATGGCTTGGCCCTTGAAGGCGCGCATCTGGTCTGCTTCGACGGCGTTGATGTAGCTGCTGTCGTTGATGTCGGTGAAATCAGAGTCACCCAGCTCGCCTGGCTGCACAGCGCGCGAAGCGATCTCGAATGGCGGTGCGGGAGTGGAGATTGGCTCGGTGGGGGCGTGAGTGGCGCCAAAGTGCACACGACCGCGGGTGGCCTCGTACGACGAGACGGCGGAAACGCCGCGTTGACGCGAAGTGGGATCGCCATCGAAAATGATGCCCGAGTCGGGAGGGGCTTGGAGGGGCTTCTTGAGCGCTGCGTCTGCGCGGTTGGCAAAGCGGTTGTAGAGCGTGCGGAACAGCACTGGGAGCAGACAGAGACATTCTCCCAAGAACATCTGGAGCGTCTGCCACACGGGCTGAGAGAACTCTTGACGCTGCTTTGGATCGGGCGAGTCGCAGTTGGCGACACACTGCATATCCTGATACTTGTTGAGCAGCGAGTTGCCGATGCCGGTCAGCAGCATGCCGACGACCAACATGGGCACGAGCGACCGTGTTGTCAACATCTTGGTTTTGTTATCAGGGTCTTCCGATGAAGTGTCTTGAGGTTCGAGCACCTCTGGAGCCTCTGGAGCCTCTGAAGCCTCTGGAGAGGGAGAGCGGTCGGACTTGGCTTCCGAACTTTGATGGTGGCGGAAACGTTGTTCTCCGAGAGAGGAAGAGGGATGGGTTTGAGAGGCAGACAGCGCTACCAGCTCGATGCTGTTTGAAGTGCGCTGTGTCGTTATGGTTCTCGCCCCGCCTTGGCCTGGATGCGGAGATAGTTCGAGATCGAGGGGCGTCTAAATGCGATTCTATGCTACGGTGAGGCCCACGTCGATGTTTGAAGGGTTGTTAGTACGTGTGGCAATGGATGCGATTTGAAAGTCGAGGGCTTGCAGTTGTAGCAGCTGTGACGGTGGTGATGGAGATGGGGATGAAGATGAAGCGAATGTGGTGGGGTCAAAGAGAGGGGGGGAGCAACACGCAAGCCGCAACGAGGAACGAGGAACGAGGGCCGACCGCGACGCAGTGTCGGTTGGACGAGGGCCGAGCGAGATAAGGTGGCCGTACAGCAGAGGAGGCTGCTGCAGAGTGCGGTGCAGGCGTCACTACTGCCGACGCATCAACTCTGGCTCACTGAGACAGACCCTGACGAACTAGAGGTTGATGATTGGCAGGTGCATGAGAGCGGCATCAGCACAGTGTGAGCCTCTTTTGCCGACGCCTCTTTGAGCGTCACAAGTGTCAACTCCGCTTCATGCTCGACGACGAGCCAACTCGCACTTCGTTGTCTGGCTGCCTCAGACTGACTCGTCTGACTCGGTCGTGTCTCGTCGTCCTGCAGCCTTGATTTTGAATCGAAAATGCCTCAAAATTCAGAGCTGCGTCCTGTTTTGTGTTGGCCAATCAGCCACTTTGAGGGCCCCACTACAAGTATCGCCGCATTCCGTCACATGCCGGCTCACTTTCTCTCGCACGCTTCGTTCTGAATTACTCGTCATGTTAAAGCTTGTGCTCAGCCTCCGGAGCCGAGTCGAGCTGCTCTGCATTCGAGGTTTTTGGGGAAGCTTCTTCTTCTCTGGACACTGAATGCAATCCATCCATCCAACACCACCTCTCACCATCATCTCCCATTCGCACTCGTGACAGTCTGGCCGATGGGCCAGCTTCTGCTCGCTCACATCCACCTCAACCATGGTGGTCATCGACTTTGACATGGCCGCAACCGGAGGCAACTCCAATGCCACCTTTTCCGACTCGCCCTTCTTCTACGACCGCTCCGACGCCAACGGTGCCGGTCAAGCCATCTACAAGGACGCCTCTCACATCCAGCCTCACTCGAATCCACGTGTCAGCTACTACCATCCCGCTGGCGTCGGCGACTTTCACTACGGAGAAAGGCATCCCATGAAACCCGCTCGACTTACGCTCACCAACCGTCTCGTGCTCGCATACGGTCTGCACAAGCACATGAGCGTCTTCACGCCACGAGAAGCAACAAAGGAGGAGCTCGAGATGTTCCACGACAGTGACTATGTCGATTTCCTCGCCAACGTCACCCCGTCTACGCCGCCCTCGGCTGCGTTCACCAAGTTCAACTTTGCCGACGACTGCCCCGTCTTTGACGGCATGTACGACTTTTGCAAGGCATACTCCGGCGCGTCCCTCGCAGGAGCTCGCAGACTTGCTGCTGGAGAGACCGACATCGCCATCAACTGGTCCGGTGGTCTGCATCACGCCAAGAAGTTCGAGGCTTCCGGGTTCTGCTACGTCAACGATATCGTCTTGGGCATCATGGAGCTGCTCAGGTACCATCCCCGCGTTCTCTACATTGACATCGACATCCATCACGGCGACGGTGTCCAAGAGGCTTTCTACAACTCGAATCGCGTCATGACCGTCTCTTTCCACAAGTACGGCAACGACTTCTTCCCCTGCACCGGCAACATCGACGAGATCGGCACTGGACTCGGCAAGCACTTTTGTCTCAATGTACCGCTTCAGGACGGCATCGACGATTCGGGCTACGTCGCCCTGTTCAAGAGCGTCATGGAGCCGTGCATCACCACCTTCCGACCCTCTTCGATCGTGCTGCAGTGCGGCGCTGACTCGCTCGGGCTCGACCGTCTCGGCTGCTTCAACCTCAGCATTGCAGCACACGGCGAATGCGTCCAGTTCATCAAGTCGTTCGGTCTGCCGCTGCTCGTTCTCGGCGGTGGCGGCTACACTATCCGCAACGTCGCTCGCTGCTGGGCATACGAGACGTCGGTTCTCACGGGCTGCTCCATCCCAGATACTCTGCCCAGCACGCCCTACATGGAGTTCTTTGCACCCTCCTATCGACTGCACGAGCCGACACAGGCGGGGAGGGTCGAGAACCAAAACTCGAAAGCGAGTCTCGAAAAGATCCGCGTGCAGATCCTCGAACAGCTGCGCTACCTCCACGGTGCTCCGAGTGTGCAGATGCAGGAGCTGCCGCCTGATCTGGCAGGTGCCTGGCTCGAGGACGAAGTCAAGCCCTGACCTCCATAGCTGTGAAGAACAATACCACTTGATACCCCCCCACTCTCAACACTCGATCCTAAACTCGCGTGTCATTTGCACTTGTACCTTTGTCCTCTTGTACTTTTACTCTTTCGCCTTGGTCCCTGCGACTCTGATACACAGCGCGTTCGTCAAGCAAGAAGACCCTGCGTTGGATCGTGCAACATGAGGAGAAACGGCATTCTGTGCACAGGAGTGCTCGTGCTAGACCCTTACAGCGCCCCGATCGGATGTAGCTCGATATCGAGCGTTCGAGCGTGAAAGGAAACGGGAGACAAGAAGAGATGCCTAAGATGTTTGTGAGGTTTTCGCGCAGAGCTCATCATGCGCCTGCCCGATTGTGCTCATGGGCAAGTCGGGCGAGCACCTCAGAGCGAGGTCGAGTGAAACCGATTCGGACGAGGAGTCTGGCTAGCAGTATCGTCCTGTGCATCACTGGTCAGCTCCACGCACAGGATGTGCGGTAGAAATGCACGCTGTCCAAACGAGTTTCGAGCGAGTCTCGAGCACGTTTCGAGAGCAGTCGGAAGCCAGACTTGAGCGGTCATCGAGTGCTGATCGCGCGCGGAACACGTAAGCACAGTGCTGCGTTAGCGCAGACAGAGCAGATCTGGCGCGAACACAGAGAGTCCAGATGCCGCGAAGATCTGTTCGGGCTTCGGAATTTCCGATGGGGCGATTCTGCCTTCTTGAA